CTAACCGCTGCAACACAGTTACGGTAAAGCGCAACAACACAGTATAAAGGGTTTGTCACTTCAGCGTCAGGATAGAGGATTGTATAAATATTATATTAGTCGAGTGCAAGTATATCGCCCGTTGTAAAAATGTTAAGTATTAATTGATTCTTAAATACGCTGAACACAGTTGATTAAATTATGCAACACAGTTATGGTGAACCGCTGCCACACAATTATTGTGCTAACCGCTGCAACACAGTTACGGTAAAGCTTTATGGGTTTGTCACTTCAGCGTCAGGATAGAGGATTGTATAAATATTATATTAGTCGAGTGCAAGTATATCGCCCGTTGTAAAAATTGTTTGTAAAGAACAAATCAATCCAGCATAAGAACGATAAATTTAGCCAGTTATGCGTCTGTATGTATAATTAGTCAGTCCTACACCAGTATGAATAAATATTCAGTCAACCGTCAGTATGAATGATTAGTTTGTCTGGCTTAAGTATGAATGATTTGTCAGTTCTGCGTCAGTATGAATGATTAATCCGTCCCGCGTCAGTTTGAATGTAGGTCAGTCCAGTGTCGGTATCAATTATCAGTCACCCATGCGTTAGTATTGATTATAAGTTAGTCCTACGCCAGTATGAATGAATTTTCAGTCAAGCATCAATATAAATGAAAAGTCAGTCCAGTGTCAGTATGACAAATTAGACCGTCATGCTTCAGTACGAACAATTAGTCAGTCTTGTATCAGCATGCATTATTAGTCCGTCCTGTGTCGGTATGAATGATAAGTCATTACTGTCATTCAAAATGTTAATTAATTTCAACTATTTCACAGTGACAAAGAAGAGATGGATAACTATTTTTCTTATAGAGATGCTGATGACATGAAGTTGTTCCACTTTATTATGATTATTAATTGAAAAAAAAAATATTACTCTTGAAAATGATGAGCCATCATTCACCCAGAAACTCAACAACAAACCGATTTTGCAAATCAAAACTTAATATTCCTTTGGATATTAACAATATCCTTTGGAAACAGTCAAATCCCATGACGTTATTAGTAAGGCCCCCACGATTACACGTTTAAACGGATACGTTTCGATTTTCATTCATAAACGTTTACGATATTGTTTACCGTTTAATCGAAATGACCATATTGTGTTACAAAATTTCTTAATCTTTGCCTGTAATCATGGATTTTATCAATTCTAGTGGTTTATTCCAAAGTAAACAAACGGAAAATGGGTGTTTACAACCCTCCACACAGCATTACCGTGCAAAATTGCTCGTGACATAATACATTTTTGGTAAAAAATGGGGTTACAATGCAAAAAATGTGTGCTGACTCAATCGTGATGAGCCTTGCACATTCTTTATTTGTACATGTATTAAAAATAGAAAGAAAGACATCATTTGGCGACTCAAATACATGGTGTGTATAGTACATAGAGGTACCACGGTTTAAACGGTATCGTTTCGGTTCTTAGCAGTCGTGTAAACGTTTACAAAAAATTGAAAACGTGGGAGCCTTAGTTATTAGCCAAGTGGTGTACTGTGCCATATGAATACATTTCGATACTTTGCAAAATAAAGCTTACCCTGCTTAGTTCCACACACATAGACAAATCCCCGGCAGACCATACCAAACTTTATCAAGTGGCAATCCTTTATGCGATAATTTATGTAATTCTATCCATAGAAAAACATTAAATTGTATTTGTAAATTGTATATATTTTATAATTTAAATACTGTGGCTATTACAAACGGCGGATCAAAAAGTATTTTTACTCCAAGCCTTAGTATGCAGGATTCCATTCATGCACAGAATGGCATGCGCAATTGAAGAATAAGTGTTCAATTACATGCGGGCTATTAATGAGTGACCTTAAAGTTTTGAATGGTTAACTTTTAAGCGCTTATATATTTCATCAAATTTTCGTTTATGGTATGATACCAGTTTTGTAGGCGGTACCTTGTTTATTTAGAACTTTATTATTTATTTCACAGTGTTCGTTCCATAATTCTTTTTCATTTTTCTATCACTTTTCTATATATTAATTATACTGTATACTTCTTTTATACTAAGTGCTGCGTCTGATGTGATGCACTCAGTGCTTGCACTTTTTGCGCATTTATAGAATTGTTCATTCAAAATAAGACCAATTTGACTGGGTACCCATACTATCGTTAATATAAGGTTTTCAATTAGTGCTTGTTCTTACCCCACAACACCAATATAACTGGGTACCCATACTATCGTTAATATATGATTTTCCATTAGTGCTTGTTCTTTACCCACAACACCAATATAACTGGGTACCCATACTATCGTTAATATAAGGTTTTCCATTAGTGCTTGTTCATTCCCCACAACACCAATATAACTGGGTACCCATACTATCGTTAATATAAGATTTTCCATTAGTGCTTGTTCATTCCCCACAACATCAATATAACTGGGTACCCATACTACCGTTAATATAAGATTTTCCATTAGTGCTTGTTCATTCCCCACAACACCAATATAACTGGGTACCCATACTATCGTTAATATAAGATTTTCCATTAGTGCTTGTTCATTCCCCACAACATCAATATAACTGGGTACCCATACTACCGTTAATATAAGATTTTCCATTAGTGCTTGTCCATTCCCCACAAAACCAATATAACTGGGTACCCATACTACCGTTAATATAAGATTTTCCATTAGTGCTTGTTCATTCCCCACAACATCAATATAACTGGGTACCCATACTATCGTTAATATAAGATTTTCCATTAGTGCTTGTTCATACCCCACAACACCAATATAACTATGTACCCATTCTTTCGTTAATATAAGATTTTCCATTAGTGCTTGTTCTTTCCCCACAACACCAATATAACTGGGTACCAATACTAGCGTTTATAAAAGGATTTTCATAAGTTACGCAGAACTATTTTTTATGATACTTTTGACCAAAACTATTTTTTTAAGAAGCCGGTTTTGATTGATTTTTTTAACACTTAAACTAGCTGTAAATATTGCTGTTCATCTTTTTTCCCCTTCTTATTAATTATTGTGCTCGATAAATAGCTGTCACTTCATAATAATGATTTGTTTGTTTATTTTAGTTTCTTAAATCATTACTCCATTTTTGTCATATTCTTTATTCCCTGCTCCTGCTAATCCAGCATCCGGGTCTTTACTTCCATCAGTATAAATGTGATAATGGTCCGTATAAATTTAACTTTTATTTAAGTCTTTCTTTTTTTATATTTATTTTAACTGATTTTACTTGTTTAAGTTTAATTGATGATTACTGGCGATATTTCAGTTACCATTTCATAGCACGGTTTGACTATAGTTAAAAATGCTTTAACACGCTTTCGTGGAATTTCCAATTTCTACGTTTGCCGACTTCTAATTTCATGAAATTTCTGAATCATCGATGAGGAGACAACTAACAATTAGAGAGAAATAACGCCTGGCCTGATGATCGGTTCATATTTCAAGATAAATGACGTCAGGTGTTTGTAATGAGCATGCCAGAATGAAAAAATATTTCTTTTTTTCTTGTATTATAATATAATAATAGGCATACATATTTCATTAATGCAGTTTATTAAAAGGGAGACAATCCTGGTTGTCCCAGTGTCGTATTTATACCAGTTTTCTCCCTTCACAAGTCAGCTGTCTTCTGAAGGTTACGTTATTAAACTTCCTTCATAAAGTTGTTTAGTTTTAAAACTTATAAATGTTTAACATTGTTTATGAATATAGTACAGGCATTTATGTTAACGTAATTTTCAAAGTTTTGAGATGATTTTATGAAAGCAATAATTTATACTTTCCTCGTTTACAATCGGGAGAACATGTTTTTTTAAGGAACATAATGACTGCCAGTTAAAATATAAGGCAATGATAAACAAAAACTGTTGTTCCATCGAATGACTTATTTTATACATTCTTATTGCTAATTCCTCAGATCAAGCTAAAAGTATTTGTACACTTAAAGGCCCATTATGCCTTAGAAATGTTTTCTTTTTTTATTTCTCTTTATTTTTTTATAAATTTTGATTTTAGTTTAATAGTATCAAACAAGTTACCCATTGGCCAATTACTTAAACCATCGTTTTTATCTTTGCTTTTGGCAATAAGTACAGTTGTAGTGAATAAGTATTTTGTATGGAAGTCAAAATACAACTGTGTTTACATTTTGCTACCTTTAGGACACATTATTCCACATCTATCGCTACTTTCTTCAGGTAATAAGCTTCCAACATTCTCTTAAACCATTACTTAAACATTATAAAATTCATATTTGCCATTTCTTATGAAGTAAAATTTATTCATTTCCGAGGCATGACGTGCCTTTAATATGAAAATAATTATTCAAGTGTCTGTATCCTGTCGGCTGCTCAAAAGTCACGTGTTAATCACTTGACAACCACATGATATGTAGGCGACGTAGTTTAAATTAAAGTACGAGTATAATCAATATTGTTTCTCGAATGAATAGTGTATTTGAGGTATACCATGAGAAACCCTGGAGATATTTGAGGTTACTTTTTCACTGTTTCTGTATTATATTTGAATGACCCTTCTTGTGACTTTCAAATATGAAGTCAAAAATATATTATCGTCAAATGGGATGTTGATTTGTACATGCATTTACATGTATAAGTATGAATTTCCTGACTTTAAGAGTAATGTATTAATAAGTATAATAATCCACGGCAATGCACTTAAAACAGATATCTATAGATCTCCTAAAAAAGTCTAGTAACATATCTTTGTTCACATTCCTAAAAGATTTGGTTGCCGCATGCTAAAGAGTGTCATACATTTCCCAATTAAGTTTTCAGCAGAAATGACATGTTTATACATGCTATAAGATTTATGTTGTTTAAATCTTGATGATGAATCTTAATTGTTACAGAAGAACATTCATACAGACTTAAGTCTCAAAATAAGGGCAAACAAAAGATATTTTTGAACCTTTTTTCAGAACAAGCAGTAGTCAAGGGGCGAAGGATAGGCCACTTTTTTTGAGTAAAAAAATGAAATCACCCAAGCGTAACGACAGCGCGCCGCCATATTGGTGTATATCTAGCAGACGAAGTTTTTCCCAATAATCCGCCATTTTATAACTATTTGTATAAGGCACAACCATTTGATTTAAAGTTTAAAGAAACCGCCATTCTTTATTGACATGTTTAAATAAAACACATAGCAGACGACGTTATTTTTAAACTTTGGTAGTATAAAGCAGACGACTTTTCCGTTGATAGTCCTTTGCGGTCTCGTTTACATTTTTTTTGAGATATTTAAATCGTTTTCCAATAATTTACTATCACTTTAGCTGTTTACATCGAAAGATACACATCGGTACTCTATTATTTTAAAGCGAAAGCCATTCATACAGGTAAATATTTTATTTTATTTTTCCCCAATTTTACAGAGATCGACTATTCATTAACCAATCAGATAACTGTATTGTTTATTGGATTTTATTTTTCGCTCATTTCACTTTGGCCGTGGTAGGGACAACATCGTTTACATAGACAGCTGATGTAAAACGTTAAACCTACTGAGGTTTAAGAACAGGGGTTAAAGTCAATTGAATGAGCAGAAGATTTTATCAGCAGACGACGGTTTATGTTTGTTAACATTTTAACGGTCTTATAGCAGACGACACTGGTTTATCGCTTCGCTGCGCATACAGTATATCAGTATCGATATAAATTAAAAAAAATGATAACAAAGGTTTATGTACATTTATACAATTTTATTTTCAATACATTACATTGTATGAACATTTTGTTTACAAACTGTTTTAACAAATACTTGGTAAAATTACGACATAAATACAAAGGAAAGGTAATATTTATACAGATAGTAAATATTTAACTCATGCATCAGAAACACGTTAAGATTATGTTAATTTAAGTCAGAACCTTTTATCCAACTGTTAAATTTACGCGGATAATATTTCCATTTCACCAAATATTGTTTATTGCGTCCTTTTCCTCGGGTTTTTAATACTTTCTCTATGTTCCATGTTTGATCAAGATCAATGTCTATTCTCTGAAGTTCACTTTGATAGAATGTACCTTTAATATCCTCCTCTTGTAAATCACGGAGTCTATAAATTGGTAATGTACCTCTGTGATAACGTTTATGCACTTTAAACACTTCGCCAGAGTATGTTTGATCATATGCTCTAGTGAATATTGTCTTCAGATGACTAATACGAACATAGTCGCCTACTTTAAATTTGAAGGGTTTGAGTTTTATATTCGGTTTACGGTTTTTAGGATTTTGAGCAATGTATGTTGCTAATCTCACTTCTTCTTGATTACTGTCTTTGACGTCTGCGGGTCTCATTCCAATAGTTCGATGATAGGAATGGTTGTAGCTGTCAGCTATGTCTTGTAATATTGGCAAAAATGTACTGCTATCTTTGTAGGATAAGTAGCGCATAAGTCTAGTTTTTATCGTTAAAATGGCCCTCTCAGATGTCGATGCCTTAGTTTCATTTTGCGTCGGAAAGTAATGAATTTGTTCTTTCTTCATAAGATCTTGCACTTTCTTCGCTTTAAATTCTTGACCTGAAAATAAATAACGATATGTGTAGTAATTGTTAAAAAGGTCATATACATGAAAATGTAAAATAACGCTTGACAAATAATACAAACCTTTGTCAGTCATTAATTTGGCCGGCGATCGTTTTGAAGTTTCAAAAATCTTCTGAAATGCTTTGGCTACATCTTCACCCGTTTTGTATTTTAAAGGCTGTAGCCACACATATTTGGAGAATGTATCAATCACCAATAGGATGTATTTGAATCCTTTGTTCCAATCTGCAAACTTCACCATATCTATTAAGTCAGCCATCCATAAATCGTCTTTACCCGCACTAACAACATGATTCCTCTGAAAATGTCTCCTAACCGGTTTGTGTAAGCTGTAAGATTCCTGATTATGCAAGAATTTGCGTATTCTGTGCATCCCGATATTAAATTTTCCTTCATTTTTAACTAATTTGTACAGTTTTTGTGGCCCAGCAAATGCAGCTGGGTGTTTTGGGTCAAAATATATTTTCTTTAAGTAATCCTCCCATGGAGCCATGTTTACTGTGTAGTGTCAAAAATAGAAATGAAATTAATATAACTTTACGAACCTATATATTAGTCTTCAGTTTCCGCCTCACTGACGTCACTTTCTTCGTCATCGCTTTCTTCGTCGTCGCTTAATTCCATCTCAAATAAATCTTCAAATTCAGTCTTATGCTTTTTCAATACTTTTTGCACGGCTTTAGTTTTGTGTAAACCTTTTGAAATCGATTTATAAATCTGAGCCATAATGTTGTTGTGCAGATCACTGTTCCTAAGTGGCAATATAAAATTGTCAATTAACATTGTATAGTTATCGAAAAACATCTTTTCGTTGTAAGGCTGAATGCGTTCTTCAGCCATTTCTTGTGCTTCATCACTTTCTTCTCCGTCATCAACAAATTTGTTGTATATTCTGTCGAATTTTTCATCATTTGCTTTTCTGGCTCGTTTCCATATATTAACGTAAGCCTCATTATCTTCTACAGAATCTTCTTCATGCTCGCTATCGCTCAACTCCTCGTGTTTTCGTTTCCTTGATTCCCTGTGTTCGGGACACCATCCGCTTTTGACATGTCTTTGCACGTCATGAACAGTATCAAATAATTGACCACAATCGTCACAAGCCTGTCCCTTATTTTCCATGATTTCTTCCGAATTATTTTCGTAATTATCCTGCGACTTCTTAGGCTCTAAGTAATCCTCGATGTGACCAGTTTGTAATCCAATTGCAGAATGATTTGCTTCAGGGACAACTTCATCTTTTATAGGTTCTTGGAGGGTCACGTGACCCTTGTAGTCTGAATGTTGATTATTTTGTCTGACGCTTCTAAGTCTCTGATTTTCTGGTGTAAATGGTTTTAAATCCACCAATAAATATCCATAAGGATACTTGGTAGCACTGGCAAATTGCTTTAAAAGTATATCACTTTGACCAGGGTACATTTGCCGAGCCAGTGTCATCATTGATTGTTTATCTACTGGATTGTTAAACAACACTAAATAATGACAATTTCGGCGCTGTGTAGGATCTTTGTTTCCAAACAAATTCTGGTTGATAGAAATCACGGAGAGAGATCTATGGTGAGAACCCTCTGTGAACAAATCTGTAATCCTCTTATCTTTGCCAGATTCAGAGAATAAATCATCCAGAATTAGCAAATTGTTAATTCGAGGGTTGAAGAACTCGTCATCGTCCAAATCGGATGGAATACCCTTTATAAATTCTATCCTTGGTAATACAAAACTTTGTATTGTCGTGTATAACGGTTGCCATCGTTTGTATAGCCATACGATTCTTTGTATACTAGGCTGAATTTTTGAGTTGTGATTCTCCAATAACTTTTTAACCATTGTTGTCTTTCCACAAGCTGAAAAATTGAAGAAAAAGAATTAGTATTTTTAATAAAATGTAGTACAAAAGACTTTTAGGGGAAAATTTTAAGCATAAAAAAAAGTTGAAAAAAAAACACTACAATTTTTTTTTTGTAATAAAAGTCAACAAATCGTGTTAAAAATGTACAAAAACTGTTTTAAAAAAAGTCCGAAAAAAAAAACAGTTAGAAACTAGCGTCAAACAAACTGAGTTAGAATTTCCCAAAATGTGTAGATATTTGTGATAAAATTGAGCAATATTTATGCTACAAAAGCCAACAAAAAAGTAAAATAAAATTACCTGTGGGACCCGATATCATCATAGTAAATGGATGTAGAAACACAAAGTTTTCTTGTTGTTGTTGTCGTGGTGGTGGTGATGGTGGTGGAAGTTCTCCTTGTGGTGGTGGTGGTGGTGGAAGCGCCCCTTGTGGTGGTGGTGGTGGAGGCGCTCCTTCTTGCACTGTTGTGTTCACAGACACATTATGTTTCTGTTTAAAGTGTCGCAACATCGCATCTTTTCTACTAAATCCCTTGTAACAGTCTGGGCACTGTGTAGAATACATGTTGACTCTCTGATGGCTATCTTAAAAATGATATGATGTTGTTTTATAACCTCTATTTATACTAATTGTTAAAACATCAACCAATTATATGCCTTCACCAAGTACACATGAGTATAAAAGGTCCATAAACTGATACCAAATTTCATTTCTAGTTTGAACACTGAAGTGTTCGAACATACAAGAATAATTAAGGTAAATCTTTAGTCTCGCCTGGGTTTTTGTAGTCTCGCCTGGCATTCTGTGGTCTCGCCTGGCTTTTTTTGTAGGCTTTGTTAATTACATTCTTTTTGTACCAAAATTAAGACAAAAAACTAATATTTGTGTAAATATCTTTTTTTCAGATTTTATTATTTAACTCGAGACTAATATTCATTTTTTATTATCATTTCAGTCGTACAACAGTCAACATGGCTTATACCTGCGAACAGTGTGGAGCTAGTTTTACTAAACTAAGTCAGTTGCTCCGGCATAGAAGAACAGAAAATCATTGGCAAAAATTTACTTGCCCTAGCTGCAAGAAGTCTTTTAATAGAAAACAGAACTTAGATCGTCATATGAAGAAACATGCCGACGAGAATACCCATCATTGTCCAGAATGTCTTAAAGTGTTTACAAGGAAAGATGCGCTTGATGAACATTTTTCACAACATGAAAATCAATCTGGCGGTGGAATGAAAAGAACTCATGGTGATAACGAACATAATAGCACAGGAAAACGACAAAAATTAACACCAAAGGATAATGCCTCGGAATACTATAAAATGGAGAAAATAAACGAAAGGCGAATTGAAAAGTTCAACACCACGGCGTCTTACTATAAGATTAAAATCAAGGACTTGGAAGTGAGAGATCTACAAAATATTTTAAAAACACTGAAAGTAATATTTCAGTCTATATTGTCAACAATTACAGAAAATATTCCAGCCAATGATTTAGTGAGGGTGTCCATGGATAATCCAGAACTGGACTATCCAATTGTGTTGAGATTTATGCCAAGATCAGCTCTTACTGTAGATAGGCTTTTGTCGGAAATAGAAAGGGTCCTGCAATCATACGAACAATTTGTGGTTGATGAGACATTTGGTATCGAACTGGTTCATGTTTCAAACGTTACAGGCTCAGGATACAGAATGAAACCAACAGTAGACATTACGCAAATGTTACAGAACAAGAAAAGTGTAATACAAATAAAAAATAAAGATGAGCTATGCTTAGCGAGAGCCTTAGTGACTGCCGTTGCCCGTGTTGAAAAACACCCGCAGTGGGACAATATTCGCCGAGGCCGTCAAATACAACAAGACTTGGCCATAGAACTTCACCAAAAAGCGGACGTGCCACTTGGTAAATGCGGAATAGAAGAAGTGAAAAAATTCCAGGCGACCATTTTGAACTATCAGATCCACGTAGTGTCTAAAGCACACTTCAACGCTATCATTTATCAAGGACCGGAGGGAGGTGTACCTATATACATTTACAATCATGATGATCATTATGACGTTATAACTTCAATGACAGGATTTTTGAACAGAAACTTTTTTTGCCAGAAGTGTAAGAAAGGATACCAAACCGAAGAACGTCATAGGTGTAATAACCCATGTCATTACTGCCGTAAGCTTCACGAAGATGTGTCTGAAGACTGGCAATTCTGTGAAACCTGCAACTGTAAATTTGTAAATCAAACTTGTTTTGATCTGCACAATAAGAAGACGGAAAAGGGAAAATCAACTTGCGAATTGTATTACAGATGTAAACATTGCAGCCAACTTATTAATTGTTCAAAACATAAACATGACCATATTTGTGGTGAAAAATATTGCGACACATGCAAAGACTTTGTTAGTGAGAATCACTTATGCTACATGCAACCGGTTGAAGATGATGACACTCCAGCAGAAAATGATATAAAGAAAGAAAAACAAACAAAATATATTTTCTTTGATCTCGAGTGCACACAGGATAAACGTCTTGAATGCCCTGCTGGTTACCTTCCTGGTGTTAACAATACATGTGTTAATTGTAAAAAGTCCTGGTGTGGATCTATGGAACATAGGGCAAATTTATGTGTAGCACACAGGGTTTGTAGTGCTTGCATGCATCTTGAAGTTACTTCTTCTTCAAAGTGTTCACAATGTGGTCCCAATGAATGGGTGTTTTCAGGTTCAAATACTATCGAGTCATTCTGTAAGTGGTTATTCACTGTTGAAAATAAGGGTGCCACAGTTCTTTGCCATAATTTCAAAGGGTATGATAGTTATCCCATCATGAATTTTTTGTATGACAACGCCATTCTGCCCGAGGTGATAACAACAGGATCAAAATATATGTCCATTGTAGTACCTATCTTTCAAATAAGATTCATTGATTCTCTGAATTTCATTCCAATGGCCCTTGCAAATATGCCTAAAGCTTTTGGAGAAACTGAACTGGCAAAAGGGTACTTTCCACATCTATTCAATACGACAGAAAATTACTCGGTAGAACTTGATCATCTGCCCGACATTAAGTATTATAACCCCGACAGTATGAAACCAGAATCACGTCAAAAGTTTTTAGAATGGTACGGTATAAATAGGCACACACCCTTCTCACTGCAGACAGAACTATTGCGTTACTGTCAATCTGATGTTGATATTCTTAGAAAATGTTGTCTTAAATTCAGAACACTGTTCAAAGAACTCACTCAAACATCGGATAATGATGGAATAGACCCATTTGAGAAATGCATTACAATAGCATCAGCTTGTAATCTTGTTTTTAGGAGTATTTTCTTGAATCATGAAACTATTGGTATCATCCCATCTCATGGTTACCGCCCCGAGGCCAAGCAGTCAATCATGGCTTATCAATGGTTATCCTACCTTGCATTTGAAAGGCAGATATATATCCAACATGGCCGAAATAAGGGGGAGAAACAAATAGGACCCTATAAAGTTGATGGGTACTATGAAACAGCTGAAGGTCAAAAAGTTGTTCTAGAATTCCATGGCGATTTCTGGCATGGCTGTCCGAAATGTTTTTCTAAAAGCACAATTAATCGGGTTAATGGATTATCCATGTCTGAATTATACACAAACACCCTTGATAAGCAAAAGTATCTTGAATCTGCAGGGTATATTTATGAATGTATATGGGAATGTGATTTCAGAAAGAAATTAGAATCCAATCCTATCATGAAAAAGTACATCGAATCTTTGGAAATTGTGCCGCCCTTAGAACCGAGAGATGCCTTCCATGGTGGACGCACTGAAGCATTTAAAATGTATGCAGAGTCCACGGCTGATACTCATATTAAGTACTTTGATGTCACATCTCTGTATCCATTCATCAATAAAACAGGGAAAGTACCCTTAGGCCATCCAAATATAATCACTGAAAACTTTGAGAATTTAAGTAATTATGAAGGGTTAATCAAATGTAAGATTCTACCGCCAAGAAAACTGTATATTCCTGTTTTACCAACTAAATGTAACGGCAAACTTATGTTCAGTCTCTGTCGTACTTGCAGTGAAACCTATGAAAATGGAAAATGTCAACACGATGACAATGAAAGGGCCATTACAGGCACTTGGGTTACTGATGAAGTAAAAATGGCTTTATCACAGGGTTATAGACTTTTAAATGTTTACGAAGTATGGCATTTTGACGAAATGGCTCAATATGACCCTCACACCAAAACGGGAGGGCTTTTTACTGAATATGTGAATACTTTTTTGAAAGTCAAACAGGAAGCCAGTGGTTGGCCAGACTGGTGTAAAACAGAAACAGACCGACACAAATACATCCAAGAGTATTTTGATAAAGAAGGTATTTTACTAGATTATGATAAGATTGAAGAAAATCCTGGTCTGAGACTTTTAGCTAAAATTATTCTTAACTCTTTCTGGGGGAAATTTGGACAACGTTCAAACCTTACGCAAACAACCTTTATTGATGATCCCGTTCAGTTCATTGATATGATGACCTCAGACCAACAAGAAATCAAGAACGTACGCTTCATAAATGATGAAGCAGTCCAGTTAGACTGGGCATATAATACTGATTTCATAGAAACATCAGGTAGAACCAATGTTGTTGTGGCTGCATACACAACCGCTCAAGCCCGTTTGAAATTGTATAGTTATTTACAAGCGCTTGGAGACAGAGTTCTGTATTGTGACACTGATTCTGTTGTGTTCACCTCTTCCCAGGGACAGTGGGAACCCGCTTTAGGGGACTTCCTCGGAGATTTAACAGATGAAGTTCCTAACAATCAAATAACTAAATTTGTGACAGGGGGGCCTAAGAACTATGCGTATTGTTTAGAAAAGCCAAATAAAAAAGGTCAATCTTCCATTTGTAAAGTACGGGGAATTACGCTAAATTTTAAGAATTCACTGGACATTAATTTTGATACACTGAAAGATATGGTAACGGGACAGATGCAAAACCAATGCGTTAAGGTTGTAGACATAAATAAAATCGTTAGAAACAGAGAAATGTGTCACATCATAACAAAGACAGAAATAAAAGACTATAAAATTGTGTTTGACAAGAGAGTGATCTCTGAAAACTACAATTCGTTCCCTTACGGTTATTAATAATGTATTGAGAATCACAATATTAAGTTTATTATTAGCGTATTTACTTGAAAGTATATGCATTGTATTTATGTATTTTACATTTGTTTCTTGCATTATCTATGTTGTAATAACTGTAAATAAAATACGTCTAAAGTCACAAAATCTTGTTCTGTTTTTCATGTTCGTTTTATTTACCCCACAGACTGTAAGTTTAAGAATGTAGACATCTCCACGTCAACTTTTGCATATAAAATAGTGTGTAACAAAACAGGCCGTTTGTATTTAAAGTGTACGCTTAGTTTCAGCGTAGTTGCATTTCAAAAGGCCGAGTTAAATTATTTTCGTCTGATATGAAATACTTATTTTACTTCACTGAGGGTTTAACCAGCCCGATACCTTTAATTGGAAAAAGGGCGTCTGCTAGATATACACCAATATGGCGGCGCGCTGTCGTTACGCTTGGGTGATTTCATTTTTTTACTCAAAAAAAGTGGCCTATCCTTCGCCCCTTGACTACTACAAGCTGTCAGCTCGATCATGGATATTTTAGAATTTTTATTTTATCCCTTTCTTTGAGACATCAATGTTTATTGGTAGAAATACGTTTTAGATGAGTCCTTAAATTCAAGTGTGTATTTATTGGTTAAGTCACCATATATATTTGACTTTAAAAATGTTTCAATCTTTAAAATAAAAAGATACACATATTCGTCTTGATATCTGAGGTATGAATTTTATTTTATTTATTTATTATACTTTAATTTCCATAGATTTTGTTTAGCTTAAATTTCTCCGAATCTTGTTAACAACATGTTCTCAAGATTGAATTTATGAATCGTAAACGTGACTATGTTTGACCAGACATCGCATACAGATCGGGAAGGCAAACCTTTTTAATTATTTTTGTTTTGAAAAGGATCCAGTATAAATCAACCCCGGAATATGCTGATTTATCCCTTTGCTTGATTTACATCTCTTTGGTTTAAACTTATAGTGTAATGGCAGAAGGAAAATAGTTTTCATTCTTTTAATGCATGAACTACTTAATACGGTCAGGTAAATGCACAATTTGTTCTGAATTGATTTGGAGAATTAAATTACATGCATGTAACTTTAGTAAAATGAAAAGCGTTGTTCCATGCATTTTGATTCTCACTTACTATACAAAAATATGGACTGTTTACTAAAATACATTATGTGGCGAAAAAAAGAAGTTTTTATTAAGAATTTATATTTTCTTGTTGTTAAACACTTTGAAATAAACTGAATCTAAAGCTTATGACATAAGAAGAATATTATAAAACACAATTCTTTAAAAAAACGTTTTACAATTGATTATAACATGATTTAGATTTCATTTCAAGAGTTCTTTTATATTTCATTCTCATAATTCTTACTTTATATCAGTCTATACATGTGTTAAGATCTTTAAAATAAGAAAGGAAATTACTCAATCATATTATTCGTGATATTTTAGATAAATTGGAAGAGTATAACCTTTTCTCTGTCAGAAAGGGGCAGTAACTCCTGAATTACTTAATCTAAAGAGACCATGCAATAAAGCACAACACTTGTCTAAGTGTTTGGTTTTAAGACCGATTTCAGATTGTACCGATTCTCGGCATGAATCTAGAATAATAGAACAGGGAACAAAATTACCCACAAATGAAAAAAGCAAAGTAACATACCTATTTCCATAATTTGTATGATCTTCCGATCAAAGTTTTCAAAATCATCATTAGTTTTGAGAAAATCACACAGTTACATAGTAAGGGAACTAATTCAAATGAATTATTACAAATATAGTCATCATATACTCTCCCTTTAAACATAACTGGTATCTAATTAACGTAAATTGCACATTTCTATCTAGTGAAGGAAACAAACTATGTTGAAAAGGAAGCGAATGATTGAAACACTTTTATTGAGACTTAAGTGGTTCATACTTATAAATACATCCGGGCATCTTAAATGTTTCGTATATGTCAATACATGTATGCATAAATGTTAATATTTTGTATGTTTTAAGTTTCCATTAAAGGCACATTTTGCTTCAGAAATTAATAATGTCTTTATTCTTTATGTGTTTGTAAATATTTTGGTAATGAATTTAGAGGATCTCAGATGTGAAAAAGCTGCAGAAATAAGCAAGGAATGCGCAGTGATTTGTTTAGTGTTGTAAAGGTAGCAAAATGTAAGCAAAGTACATGTAGTATTTGACTTCCATACAAAAAACTGACTTACTAAAATATTTATATAGTACATATTTCCAAAGACCAAAGGAAGCAAGGTTCATTTTTTGGGTCAATTAGTAATCTGGAACATGTGATAAGATACCAAAAGTAAAACAAATTTTGAGTTATATAAATGATATCATTTCAAGTGCTTAATGGGCCTTTAATTGTGTTTCTTAAATTTTAACAAACATAGACAAGAACTGTACAATATTGATTGATATAATGAGTCACATATTTCACTTTTTTTCGTGCTATCGGTATATAAAATACAAGTGAAGTTTGCTTCATTAGAAAGAAACATGCGAGAGGTACTTATGCAGCTGTGGAAGATTTCTTTAATTGTTCAAATGGACTTCTGATTTGAAGAATTGCATTTGCGAATACTACCAACATATCGGCTATTTCCTACAGTGTCCGGCTATTTCCGACAGTGTCCGGCTATTTCCGACAGTGTCCGGATAAGGTCTAATTATGAATACTCGGCGAGTTGTTCTGGAGTAAAAGGACTAGCAAAATTTTGTGTATGTCCGTGTTTTTATTGATCTCGTGCGCACGAGATTTTATGACGTGTGCACGAGTTACTTAGCCGTGCAAACAAGATAAATTGTCACGCGCAATGAATACTTTGTCATGAGCACGAGATAATTTTGTCGTGCCGTGCACACGAATAACTATGTCGTGAGCACGAGTTACTGTGTAAGCGCACGAGATAATTAAGTCGGGAGCACAAATTACTAAGTCGTGCGCACGAGATTATTTGATACATTGTTAGGAGTACTATAAGGACAGTTTTGAGTACACAAATCAAATTTCATCTATTCAAACGACTTTTGATATTGACATTGCAACAGGGCTTACTTACTGAAAACAATTTAACAATTAAATTAAACCAGTTTCAAGATGTTTTCTAAGTTTTTCCCTTTATCTATTATAGCATGTCGCGACTGGCATATATAAATTGTAATAAACAATTAAATGTAAATAGAATAAGGAAGATATCGCAGCACGTTGATATCATTGTTTAATATATAATTTAAGAGAATCATGAAACGATTGTTTTGTGAAGTGGATGTGCGCGTCAGACACTTGAAGTTGTTAAAATCCCGCCATGCTTTATATAAATTTAAAAACTATTTTGTCTTGCTTTTTTATTGCTGTTAAGTTCGTTTATTGAAAATGTCAGTTTTCGTTACAGGTGCCTAAAAGAATAGAATATCTAAACTAGCTGAAAGATGCGGGAAATAGATGATATAAATCATGAGTATTAAATGAGTGATTCTGACTAAATGAGCTATTTTCAGTTATAGTAAAATTGCCGTTATGTGGTGAATAATTTCGTCAAGCCTTTGTATATCAAGAGAAAGCAATCAAAGTTATTCTTAAAATTACATCAGAAAATACAATATCAAAATTTCCTTGAAATAGCATAGTTAAACACAGTGTTATGATATCATTAAAGCAGCATGCCTCACGATCCATGCTTGTTATCATAACAATTTGGAAATTGTATTGAAAAGTAAATTATAGGAAGTGAACATAGGAATTCATTTACATATTGCAAACGGCTCTTACAATCCACGTTAATTACTATAAAAATCAAAATAGGCAAATTTACTCATGGGTTTTCGACAAAACTTCACAGGAGCTATCGTAGGATATACTTTATACCGTATCCGTTCTGTCCATTCATACACTTGTGCTCGAGTGCTGTATCAGAAGATTGACGGAAATAGGCGGTTAAGCGACTGATGTTCCGATTGAAATATTGATGAGTCTATTTAAAATAGATAGTAGGGGTTCAGATAATACAAATGGTCAAACATTCGCTTTCAAAATCGCATTTTTCAAATAAAAAAAATGTGATGAAATAAGTCGTGCTGTCTCACAAGGATGTATGCTTTTGGCGCATCTAGATATCCCTAGAATTGAACATACAGTTCCAAGACTGAAAGTTGGAATAGTCTATTTAAGAAATTTAGTAGGTAAAAAGCTAAGTCCTATATATCATGTAACCTTTAAACTACGGGCGACAGCTAATATTACCCGTATGATCAGTGCAGGTCTGGATCAGCTGGCAAATTCGAACTTATTTTGTATATCTTCTTAAAATAATTAATTGTTATGTCAAGTTTTTAGAATTAAGGTACTCTTGGCATTATAAGTTTTAAGGCACATTATGCCTCAGAAATCCATATTTTTCAAGTTCTTAAGAAATGCCAAACATGTTTTTAAAAGTGTTTTGTTAATGGATATAGATAGATAAAATGTTTTTCCGCTGAAAAAAAGCACTTAACATGTAGTTATTTGTCGTAAAGGCAGCAAAATGTAAACAAAGTATAGTATTTTTGATTTCCATACAAAATACCAATTCACGTTAATTATACCAATTGCCAACATAACAAATTTGGCAATCATAGATTATGTATATGGCAAATGAGTATTGTTTTGGAAAATGTATAATACCAAAATAAAAAGGTTTTTGAGAAATAAAAATGATAGCATTTCTAACGCATACTGTGCCTTTTAAGGATAACTATGAGTTGGCAAGTTTAACCTACGCTTGCTTTCTACACCATGCACCAGGAAACTTTTCGGGTTTACTTAATACTTAAATTAATGGAAAATGAATGTAAAATATTTTGTCTCACTTGTATTTATTTCCTGTATAAACATATCTTTAAGCACGTCGATCTCTTTATCTATTGTATATCTTGTATATCCCGGCTGAGTTATCGGTAAGTATTTACTGCGTTTATATAAATAGAATTAGGAAGGATGCATTATTTAAAAAAAAACAAAAAAAAACAAAACAAACAAGGAGCCCGTCGGAGGACAGAAAGCCTTAAAACATAAAATTTGGAAACCTCACATAATTATAAAAGGTTATGTGAAAATTGTTAACTTAACCCGATTTGTGTTAAAGCGTTCCAATACTTTTTATTTTACACAATAAAGATGATAATTCTAGAGAAA